TACTGCTTTCCTCTGCAGTGACAGTGCCCTCCCCAGGTTCACAGGGATCTCAGTGTACCCCGGGTGCTATCGATCTACTGCCTGCGGTGAATGCAGCTTCTCTCTTCTATCTCATGTCTTCCCATTGGAACTGTCACTCTGAGTATAGGAAATTAGTAGAAATTAACTTTGTTATCTTACTGACCTTAGTTAATTGGCTCTGGTGAAGGAAAGGAAGCTGGTTTCTATTAACCCCATGCAGTTTTGTTTATTTGTGGTCTGAAGTCCAACAACTGTGGGTGACACGGCCATGGGTCCCTACCAGTGCAGGCAGCTCAGTGCCAGGCAGGAGAGCCCCTGAGAGTGGCGTGGGTGGCGGGGGGGGGACTGCCCAGTAGACTTAGATTGCCAGGGCTGCAGTGCCATCTACTGTTCCTTGCACTAATCCTTTGGAAATTAAAATGTATTATAAAGTTATTTACAACCTTCTTTTAATTCCAGACAGAGAATCGATATTTTTCAACAGCCACAATGTTTCAAAGCCAGAATCCTCATCTGTCTTAACAGCAGTAAGTATACTTGGTCTTTTTTCCTCTAGCACTGCTGGAAAACTATCTAGTCCTTTCTTACCAAAGCGTTAGCAGCTAGCGGCGCTCCTTCACAAGTTGTCTGCTTCTGTGTTGCAGGCTGAGGTGTGTTTGGTACAACGAGCCAGCATGACTGTGTGTCCCTCTGGTTTTCCTTACCGAGCTCCGGTGAGGAAGCACTGATGCAGCAGGCCTGTGCTGCTTGCCAGGCCTAAGCTCCCCAGAGCTAATCTAGCAAAGGGAAGAAGGAGGTTCTGAATGCAAATACTTAGCCTTTACCTGTCCAGAGAGCTTAACAGGCATAAATCATCCTTTTAGGACTCAGTTCTGTGAGGAAGGACAAACAGTGAAAATTCAAGCAGACAAGTTGCCACGGAGGGCCGGTAGCTGTCTGCGGTGTGAGCACACCTGAGTTGCAGGACCATTTCTGGGTGTCTTCCAAGTCCAGCAGTGCCAGCACACTGCACAGTTTCATGCTTGCATTACCAATCCTTTTAATAAGCTTTGCATGCATGAATCCTAACAAGTTCTCAGGCCCTTGACTGCTGAGAAAGTCACCTTACAGAACTGGGTCCTTTCAATCTTTGAGGCTGCAGATTCTTTTCTGTTTCACAAGCTTTACTAGTTTTATACTACAAGTTTTATAGTTGGCAATGATTAAATTTTCTGTGCAACACTGATGGGCATGCTGAAAATTAAAACTATAACTGTGCTAGTCATAAATCCCTTTATGGCTAAATTTACTTTCACACTAGAAAGAGTATATGCTCATGTGGTTTACTTGCCACTTCTCTTATACATGTACATATCCCATACATGCTTCTGTAGGCGTAACAGCATACTTCTGTTGCATAGCCTGTTGTTTAAACAGTGACAAAAAATTACATCTTGCAGTCATAAATAACCAGTTATTCATCCTAATAAATTTTTGTAGAATGATTTCTACATTAAAACCTGCATAAAAGATATCCCCTTTGAATTAGCCTGTGCCCTAAAATTATCAGCTAAGTTGTGTTGTATGGTTCAAATGAAACTAGCAGCAGGAGTCTGGCTTATCAGTCCTTTAATGTAGGCCTTAATCTACATCGAAATAACAGAATGATAACCAGAATATTTGCAGCACAGGGTTAAACATGCCAGCTGTATTTGGTTTTTTAAGGTGTAGACCTAGTACTTAAAATAGTGTGTCTGATTCTCCATTCATTCTTATACTACTGTGTGTCTCAAGCATCTGCACCAGTGTGAAGAGGAAGAACTAGGTGCTTTAGAGTGGGTGAACTTTCAATATTGGTAGAATTCTGAATTATTAAAGCAGTTTCTCTTTGGTGTCTTTCTCTGTTTCATGCCACCGGTTCTCTGCAATTAGATTTGGTGGATATGCACCTGGAAACCTCTAAAAATTAATCTTTCCACTAAAAACACTGTTTCAGAGTCACTTAGTAATGTGTCTTTTTCCACTATAGCTGGATAAAATCGAAGGAGTATTTGAGCGGCCAAATGATGACGTCATCCGGGAAATCTCTAAGGCACTGCGGCAAGCTCTAGGAGTTTCCCTCTTTGGAATTGATATCATCATTAACAATCAGACTGGGCAGCATGCAGTCATTGATATAAATGCATTCCCAGGTGAGAAAGGCCTTTGCATTCATGCTTTGTGGAAACTGCACAGTGCCTGCTTGGTGTAAAGTTTTACTGCTGGTGTCTCACATCATTGCTTTCCAGGTAGGGGACAGGAGAGAAGCAGCCAAATTGTCCTGAAATCAGATACTGTTTAATCTGGGAAGGGCAGAACCCTAATCTAGCTATGGAATGTGCTACTGAAATAATAGCTCTTAGGAGATACAGTCAAATTTTAGTGGCCTGCTGTAACATGGCTATCAGGCCCTTCCCTGCAAAGGGATGCCCAGGAACTGAAGCATGGGACTGTGTGTTGGGACCTGGCCTTTCTGGGTCTGTCCCTCATTCTGAAGATGAAAAGAAGAATAATAAATTCTATTTTAGGAGAGCCTTTTAAGATTTCTTTTTTCCCAGACTCTGTGCCATTAGAAGTGTTGAGGGGGTGGAAGCAGCAAACTGTTCCCTTGAAAATCTCTTCCTGTGCAAACTGATTCCCCATGAAAAGACATTTTGTGCACAAAAGCAACAACGCCAGAATTCTGAAGAAGATGATGAAATTGTAGGTGCACAGAAGTTGCTGTAAAGGGTTAAATATCCTTGCAGGTTCTCATAAATGGGTCCTGGAGTAAAATAATAGAATAGAGTGTGTGTAAACTGGTAGATTTGTCCTCCACTTTTTTTAGTGCCACTTATGTCTTGGAAACAACTAAACAAGCTCCTTGACCGCTGGAGTTGTTAAAAGGAGTTGTGTGTATAATAGGAGGCAATAATGGTCTGTCACTTGTGCTAAATTCGGTAGCCTGACACAGGAGAAGAATACATCGTCTCATTTGATGCTGTTTTGCATGGAGTTTTTCTCTTTGAAAATCTCATTACCTAAATAGTGATGTTTGTTCCCAGAGACATACACAGGCTGTTACAGTTCGTTTAACATGTCACTGAAGACTGAGTTTTCACTATGGCTGAGGTATCTTTACATCTAGAGATCTTGCCCCAAGCCCCGAGATGTCTTAGTCTTTCAATCCAGGACCTCAATCCCACTACTGTCCTGTAGTGCCTGGCCTGTCTATCTCCACAGTAGCTGGCTTCCTTTTAAAACTCAAGCCCTGCTATTCTCAGGTCACTTTGCAGTTTGGTTCTACCATATGGTGTTGATGCAACCTGCAGACCTATGAAAACAGTATTCTGCCAAGAGCAGTGAAACAACCTAAATTTGGTGTCAGATGGAGCCACATCAGTTTTATGAATGGGATTATATTTCAGACACTGGGTCTTGAAGTCAGTGATGCAGGACATTCTTTTGCAATCCTGCATCCTGCATTTTGGTTTGGTGTTTTGGGGTTTTTGTTTTTTCATTTTCCACTTTTCTTGAGATGTTGAAAAGTCCAGGTTGGGGAATAACTAGTGGCAAACTTAAGTGTTCAAGGAGGAGTAGTGTCTTCTTGTTGTGGCAGCAGAACTGCCTTAAGCCTTATGCTCTGCTCTACTTCTACCCTAAGACAGTAGTTTTTGATATTCAGCCCAAGTTCTGTGTTTCAGTCTGCACAGTAATTGGTCTTTGAAGAGACATTGAATTAATAGAGTGGTTTAGTCCTTGCAAGAGGCTTGAGAGCATGGGGAAGCTTCTTGTGCACAGGTCTACGTTGTGTCTCACACGGGATTTTTTTGGTGGTGAACATATGGGTAGTGAAGGTAGCTACTGGCTTTATCACCATGGGATAAGTTGAAGACCAGATGGAGAAGGTCTAGAGGATAGCAGCAGGGACCAGAGATATGGAAGAGAGAAGCTGAGGGTGGACAAAACTGCCTTCAAATTTGTAAGAGGTAGCAGAACTGAGAGAGATGAGCTGCTCTCAAGGGCTGCTGAGGTTGGAGAAGCAGCAGTGGGGTAAAATACAAGAGAAAATAAGTTACATCTTAACACGCAATACTCTGTTGCCCAAAAACATGTTCAGCCCAAACAGCTGCTTTTCCCTCCGAAGGCCAATATGATTAAAGGCTGAGCAGCTTTAAGGGCTGGTTTCATTGATGGAGCCAACAACTTGCTAATGAGAAGTTCAGTTTCAGCCCTGCTCAAAACAGTCACTGATAGGCTCCACCATGCTAGCTTAAAAATGCTCCTAGGCATTTCTTGACTCCACAAAGCTCAGTGGGGGCAGGTACTTGTTTTCAGATGCATTACTCAGTGGACATCCTTCCTATCCACACTCAGCCATAGGACTCTGGAGACTGTTTTCAATGTAGCATAATTCAGGCCTCTTGTAGACAGGCATTTCCAAAATGGTTTCAGTGGGCAGTGCTAAGATAGTACCTGCTGGAGCACGATTCATGCAACTGGTGCTTTGAGGTATGCAAAACTTATATCCTCCCCCTGATTCCTTGTGTGACATGAACCCTGAATTCATTGCCAGTAGTTTCTGAAGGTATAATTTAATCTGCCCTTCTTGATTTTGTTTTTGTCACAGCACAGTGATGGCCCACATTTTTTTGAGAGGCCCGCAGCAGCAGCCAGTGAACAGAGCAAGGCAATATCCACAGAATTTGCAGCCTCCCCAAGGCATTGTGTGGCTCAAGAGTTGAGACACCCTGGTTTTCTTCCTCCCTTCCTTGTATTTCTTTTTTAGAAGTGTGTGAAGTTTCTTCTGAGTGACCAGGCAGAATTAGTTGGGCCTTTCCACACAGTGTGCAGAGGGCTTGCACAGAGGAAGCCTGCCTGATACATACAGTTTCCTTACACTGTAACATCTGCCGATTTCAGGACCGAATAACTGGCCATGTTGTTCCCATTAAATATTTAAAGCAACTTCTTTGTGAGTTTGCCAGGTGCCCTCAAACAAGGCTGGTTTGTTTTCAGTGAGCAGACACGAAACACTCTAGGGTACTATGGATCTCCTCTCTGAATATTAAAGCTGTTACTATGGAGATGGCTTATTCCCCGGGTGTTTGAAGCACTCTGAGTAGATTTGAAGGCTAATCCCATGGCTTTTACATAAGCAAGAAAGCGTAACAAGCACCTCTGTCAAAGAGGTGGAGATCTTGTTCTGGCTCCCATGACCAGCCACAAGAGTCCTAGTTGCCCCGTGCCAGCCAGTGGATTATCGAGTGGGGCACTGGGAAACTTGACGTTTTGAAATGGCCCATTTGTTTGGTGAATCTGTTTAAGGGCCTTTGAGAAAGGAAAACTGAGAGCTGTTGTCTCACGTTGCTAGTGTTTTGTGTGACCTGTTAAGTACCTAGGAGAATTGTGACTGAATGCAATAAAACCCAAAGCAATGCAGCAGCCTAAATAAAAGTTAATTGGTTAACGTGTGGGTTATAAATATACCATAAAATCACCACATTTATCTTAAGGTGAAATTATCCTCTTACCTTGTGTTTTTCAGGAAGTTGGGTTTTTATTGCCTAAGGAAGTTGATCTTTACAGGAGAATGGAGATTAAAACTGAATTATTTATGGATCTGAGGGACTCTTCTGCCCTGTGATCACATCACTAAAAGTGTTTTAAAATGTGCATTTACTTTGTGGTCTCTGGTTCTGCTCATGTGCTGCTGTGTGAATGTGTGCTATTCACATGGGACGTTTAAACTGTTATTTATTGCTTCAGTCTCCTGTATTAATACCAAGTCACCTTCAGAATACTTTTACAGACATTTTAAAACAATCAGCCTAGCCTATTAAATACACTGAATGGCACATGTCACCTCTAAATACTAAATCAAATTGATAACAATTTTAGGTAATGCAGTGGCGGTTAAGATCCATTTCAAGACGTTGTACCGCTATGTTACGTGTCTGGTTCAATTTTAAAATGAATGCAGTGATAAAACTGTGGCTGTACCAGAGTGTTTAAAATAGAGCCAGAATCTCTGTACGCCTACTGCCACCCTTTGTGTCACCAAAAACGTCATGTCTCGTGGTATTTGAGCAACTGTTTTAACCAGGAAACTTGTTGCTAAACTCTGCATTGTAAATTGTCTGGAATTGCTTTTCAGAACATGCAGAAAGGTGGCTTCACTACTGGAATAAAAGACTGATGTTTCTACCAAATACTGTACCATTGATACGTGTTTACTGTCCCTCGAGTGTTTTTTCAGACATTGCTCTTAGCTGGGAACATGTTTTAACTGCCATGTTCAGTTAGATTAGATGAGCATCACATTACTTCTTACACTGTGGGAAACTGCCTTTTCTGTAGGGTATAAAACCAGCCCCGCTGTCCTCTGCGGTTTCCCTGATGGTATTGCTGGGCAAATTGTAGAGAGGGTCCAGACCCTCAAGGAAACTGCGTCAGAGCTCCTTTCCATAGTAAACCTGGAAACAGGATGGAAAAGATCAATGTTAGACCACTGAGTTTGTAACTTATGGAAAAACCTGAGCTTGGCAACAAATGATAGACTATACCTAAAATTATATACACACACATATACTTGGGAGGAAAAAGAAACAGAAAATCTGAAAGGTGACAGTTTTTCTCATCGAACAAAAGTATTTTTGTAGCAAGGGTCTCTGTTCCTCTTTATGCTAACCTGCTTGTGTAGTCACTCAAAACGACATCACGGAAAGGAAGCCTTTTTATTGTCACTTGGAGGGCAAGGACAGCCCAAGAAATCAACTGGTAGCAGAAGCCTTTCAAAGAACTTAAGAAAATTACTTAATTGCCTTTTTTCTCACCTTTATTTTTTCTCTTTTCAGGCTATGAGGGTGTTTCCGAGTTTTTCACAGATCTCTTGAACCACATAGCTGCTGTCCTGCAGGGTCAGGCACCTGAGGTGACCCAGCTAAACCGCAGCAAGCTCCTGGCAGAGCAGACCAGCGGGATCATGGACGAGCGGATATGCTGCGCTAGCACAGGCTGTCTCGGCGTCATGGGAAAAGACTCCTCCTGGATTGTGGAAAGCGAGACCAACAGCTCAGTAAAACTGCAACACCAGAGACTAGGCTGCAACTCGGCAGTGTCCCCCAGCTTCCAGCAGCACTGCGTCGCTACGTTGGCAACAAAAGCTTCTTCTCAATAACTTGCCAATGCCATGGACTGAGAAAAAGCCACAGGGATACAAATTGTGGTCCCAGATCCAGATCAGGCTGTAACAATACAATTGCGAAAAATGAAAAAACACCAACACAAAAAAGCAAAATAAAAAATCCTTTTGTTTGATTTAACCTGATTTGCTGATGAAATGGTCTGAAAGGGGAAGGGCAAGAAAGTGATTCAGATCCATTTCATCAGATTCCAGTTGCAAATCTGTAGTGAGTTTACACACGCGTGGGTTTTAACACTAGTCCTTTCGTTGTGGGAGGGTTGCTCTTTCGTTTCTATTGTTCTTTGTAATCACTGGTGACCAGCATTTTAAAATCGGACCTCATGGTATCAAGAAGATAATAATGTTGAAATGGAGTGTATGAATGTAACAGCGCTAGAGATTTTTTGCCTAAAATATTCCCTGTTCCCTTTTTTCCAGGTAGGCCATTGCAGAAGAAAGCTAAGACAACTTCAGTATCACTAAACCAAATCTCTTGAAACAGTGACCAGTGAAGACGTTGACAGGTAGTTTGCTGTGAGCCGCAGCACTTTGAGTGGGACAGAACAGACTGGTTGTTCAGGGTGCAGAACTGAGGTGACCACCCCGGTTCCAGCTGTGCAGTTCTTCCCCCAGGCCTCATTGCTTCAAAAGCAGTTTCTAACCACGCTTGCCAGCAGTGACGCATGTTTGATCCAGACAGGGTGCCGATAGTTAGGTTGAGTGATTTATTAGATTAAATGTCATCCTTTCAATTGTCTGCTAGTGGTGAAATCCTAGAATAGTTAATGGAAGCAGCTCGTCTCTTAGCAGAGGATTTAATTCTCCTTCCATTGCACTTGTGAGGACTCTGGGACAGCTCTGCAAAAAGGCTGGCAATTGGAGCTGCACATATTCCTTGGAGCAGTACTAAGGGGTAACACAGTTGCTGCCTTCCACGGATCCATGCTGCTGTGCACTTTTTTTTCTTCTGCAAATTAAATATAAACAGAATTCTGTACCTTTGTATGAGGTAGAAGTACATGACAGCTCTATCTTAGAGACAGATTATTTTGTTGCAAGCAGCCAGATGAGGCCATGTGGTAATTGACAACAGTGCTTTACACTGTTTGTAAACTATAGCGCAGCCAATTTGTATCTCTTGAGATATGCAGTAAACCTACAGTGTTCACCTTCTATTGCATCTTCTAGCATGGCAGCATCTTCTGCTCTTGAGAATTCCTGCAACTTTTGCCAATTCTGAACACTAAACTGGAAATATCCAAGTCTGTCAGTGCTGAGAATGGAGACACTATTTTGGAAGACAGAGTGGCCTTCCCTTCCCCATCTAAGCCCTAAAATAGTTTTAAGAGGGGGGATGTTAAGAAAATTTCCTTAGTTAAGCTCCTAGCTTGCATATATGGGAATTTCTGTTTTTCTGTAGCAGTTATTTATAAATCATCCATCACTGCAGCAATTAATACCAGCTTGGTTAGTATCATCTGTTAGATATCTACTCAGAAGGAAAGGATCTAGAGTTTAAAGCCCAGGTAGACCATGGAGAGAGGAGTAGACTGTGTAAAAGATGTCACCACCCTACCTGATGGTACCAGCCCCGGAGGGGAAAAAGTTTCGAAGAGGAGTGTTGTGTAGGAATTCTTTTGTGTAAACAATGGGTCTTCCTTAGAAGAGATTGGATCTGTTCCCAAAATGCCATTCTTGGGAATTTTCCGTAGCCGGGATGGGATTTTCGAGGATGATTTACACAAGAGATTATTCCACTTCTAGAGGGGTTCCTAAGTTCAAGATATTTCTATAAGGACTGGAAGGACCTTATGAGCATGGTATCTGTCAAATTCCAGGGTGCACATAAATGCAGCCAACTTCTTCGACTACTGCAGATCCATTCTGAGCTGGGCACGCTTTATAACCCTCGTATGCTTTGAGGCTGCTGAATCCCACGTTGTCTGCAGCTCGCAGGTCTTGGGTGGTCGTGGTGTGAGTGAGTCAGATGTACATAGGTAAGGGTTTATAAAAGTATTCATGATAGACCAAACCTTTCGTAAAGCCATGACTGAAATAAAATTGACATCTACAGTTTGGGGTTTGTTTTTGTTTGTTTAAAATAAAAAGTGTTTTTATGTTACATGTGTAACAAAAGATACCCTCAGGAAGGAACTTGCCAGTGAATATTTTTGTATGGTACTTTCTTGTAACCAGCTGGTGGAGTGTTTGTAGACTTGCCTTTTGCTCCCTTTATTACAATGGCTTGGGGTTTTGGGGGTTTTTTGGGGGTTTTGGGTTTTGGTTTTTTTATTGGGTGGTGGGGAAGAAGCAATGATGTTAAAACTGGGTTCGTAACTCAAGACCTTTCAAACTAAGTATGTTTACATGAATCTGAGTGTTGGATCCAATGGAAATGTCTGTATGCTGTTTCCTAGTTAGAACATCAAATAAGAATTTTATTTTCCTGGCTGCCTTCTGAATTTTGGTTGGCCTATTTTGCACTGCTTTATTTCTCCAAAATAAACTACTGAAATATAATTGTGCATTTTAAACTTGTTTACAAATGATTGTTAGAAGTTTATTTTGTAATTCTCTGAAGGCTTGCAGAAATACTATATTTAAATATTACTCCAGACCTTGGCAGTAACTAGAAAACAAGTTTAGGTCATTGGTGTGATCAGTGACATTTTTCCCATAGTCTATAATTTATTTTTTATTTATCAAATGTATCGGTATCACTTTAATTTACCAGGTGCAGATATGCAGGTACCTGTTGTGATGTGGCATTACAATAGAGTTTTCACATAAATTACCATGCAATTGCTGTACTACTATATTTCCTTGCAGAAATTATCGTAATGGCTCGTATACTAGAATGTTGCTGAATCACAGGGGCAGATTGGGAGACCAACTTTTAAAAGCCAAAACTGTAAATTACCAAGTATCCAGACATACAGTTACCTTATTGCAAAACATTCAAGCATGCGTATGTTATTAAGCCTGTGCTAAAGTGCTTTTCTGAATTGCTGCCTCATTTGGTAAGTTCAGGATAGTTTTGATTTAAGATAAGCTTCACAGTAAGTTAGTTAATACTCTGTAGTCTTGTCTTCTTTTGTAAAAGTAGAGGAGTTTAGTAATATTAGACCATACCAGAATGCCCTTGCTCTTAAAATTGCAGACAATCTGAGGGAGATTTTCCATAATGTCTGTTTGAATTCTGTTATTGTGGGGTAGAAAAGGTTCTGCTGTGTTTTCAGAGGCATAGCTATTACTGCTGTGTTGACGGGAGCAATTATATTAAAATTACATGGTCACCAGTTAGCTTCTTAGGGATCCATTTCTGTTCTGCTTCACTGTTAGAAATCCACAAGAACACCATTAGCTTGACTGGAATTTCTCCAGGTTTTGGTCAGCCTGATGGAGGAGAGGGGACTCTGGTTTCCACTGTAATTATGTAATTGGCTTCAGTAGGTGAAGATTTTTCCATGTGGAAGAGAACTTGAGTAGTATTACTACTGCCTGCGGTGTAAAGCCATCACCATCCTCCTCCCTCCACAGCTGACTTTGCTGCGTTGTGCTTGGGTTTGTAATGACTGTACCAGGACATCCTGATCATTATGTGAAAACCAGCTGCAGAAATGCAGCCTAACTAGGAGCATCGGTGCTGACGCTTATGGTTTGTGTAACGCAGAACTACCACCGGGCCGATGCTGGTTTGCCTTTGGTTAACCACATGCCTGGCTGTTCAACCTTTGTGCTATAGCAGCTGATTGACCGGGCTGGTTGGTAGATAGGATGCACTGTTGTTATGAATACTGTTCAGATTGTTGGAATGATAAAGCTCAGTGTGGGAATGTTTGTGCAGAGGAGGTCCGCAGCAGGTTGCTCAGGTGGAAAACCACCAGTTTAATTTGTTTTCATGATAGAGGAATACAAATTAAGAACCCAACCCTGAGGCTTCGCAAGGTAACCAGGACTGCTCAAGATGCAGCCTCAAGTTCTCCAGGTTAACTGTGGGCTGTATCCAGCCAGGGAACAATCGGGCGGCGTAGTGGGTGGATAACAGAGGCAGGATACAGTCCAAAGGCAACAGAATAAATGGGGCCAGAGGTGTTTGAATTGGCTGGCAAAAAAGAGTGAAACAAAGGAAAAAAGTTTCTGTTGTTTTCATCCAGTAAAAAACCATCCAGGCTTATCAGTTCTTAGAATAACACAGGTTTCCCAAAGTCTTTGCGTGGCAGCAGTGACAAGTGAGTCAGGCTTTTTCACACTAGCTTGCAGTCTTGCCTTCCACAGCTGTGCAGAAAATCTTGGCTTTTTGGTTTTTAGTGAATAGAGTGTATTTTGAGTTTGTAGCAGTCTCCACATGTGCACACTTGCAGGACTTCACTTGCATTACCCTGCTAATTTTCTTTTCCTCTCTCCTTTTTAGTAAGAGATGTATTGATTTCTGTATTCAGTATACAATTACTTTATGGTGTTGCAACTGTGTGTTTTGTAATTAGGAGTGTGTGAAAATGCTTTGTGTAGATTAAAATATTTCCTTTAATATAATCTCCTCTCGCTTTCATAGATAAACGGACATGCTGTTGCAGATCACATTGCTGATTTTATTTGTAATATTGCTTTAATAGCTATTTCAGAGGAATGTAACCTCCAGAAAAGTACTTTCCACATCTTCACTATCTTTCCTTTCCCTGTTCACTCTATGTGGATCCAGGCCATCAACACGAGCTTTTGACTGGATGGGTTTCAGATCCTCCGTGGATTCTGTCATGTTTACATGGCCGCAAAAATTATTAAAGATGGTTGAAGTTTGAGAGGATCCAGGTATAAATGGAGATGTTAGAACGATTCCTCAGCAACATAAACACATAGCATCTGTAGCAAGCAAAGGGAATCGTCCTCGCTGTGTGCATGCAGGTGGCTGTTGGGGTCAGGTCCACCCCTGCTGCTGGGGCAGCTTTCCCGTGGAAATAAAAAATCCAAAAGAAAGCAGCCTGTATCTGTGATGCAGAAGGAGGATGAGGAGAGGTAGGGCTTGGGAGTCCAATCCTGGCCAGTGGACATCGTGATACCAGCGGTCCAGAATTTCACTCTGTGTTTTTTAATAATCTGGGGAGATGTTTTCTTTCTCTCCACCTTTCCTACCCTGAATCCACTGGGGCTGATATTAGTGGATGCCTGTGGGCCACATGAGCTCATTAGCAGGTAACCTTGCCCAGCGTGCCATGAGTTTGCAGAGGGCTCCCGATGTGTTGGGAAGTTTTTGTTGATGGCCTGGAAATCTCTTGAAACTCCAGAAATAGCTGAAACAGCAAATGGAGTTCATAAAAATCAGGTCTTCCTCTTCCATCCTTTTTAAGGAAACACACATTTTATTTCTTCCCTCATTCTTTACACAGTAGTTTTTAGATATAAATTATTTTAACATTTTTTTGTGTGAAGAGACATATATACATATATAAAGTTATTAAAAGGTTGAGTATATGTTGAGTATAAAATAGTGACTTCTTTGTTTCAGATGTTAGCAGCCCCTAAAAATGAGTTGTTTATCCTCTTGTAAAGTCAGTGCTGTAAAAAAAAAATATTAAAAATAAAAGATGTATTAGATGGATCTTTTATTATTTATTTCTGATTCAGTATTTGATACAGCTTGTGTATACCCTTGTGAGAACCACAAACTAAAACGCAGTCATTCTTAAAATGGAGTAAAAACAATTCCTTGGGATCCCGACAGTTTTGAGAAGAGTGGCCCGCCGGGTGTGAACAGTGTTGGATATTCTCCTTCACTCTCCAGCATTGCTCCCCGCCTAAGCATGGCTGAATCTTGGGGACCATTTTGTGTGTGTGCTAGGTTTTGCAAGGTCATCGATACCTGTGTTCAAATCCAGCTGTACAGCGTTAACAGGTGTGTCTTGTGATTCGCTTCAGCCCGGTTCACTACAATTTCCGAAACATAATTCCCGTTTTGTACTTAGATTTGTGTAGA